ATCACAGAACATCCAAGGCATTAGTCATTCACGCAGATCAAGAAGGACATCTACCAAACTGGAAAGAAGCACAGGCCATACACACAGGTTTAACGAAAACACGTCGGTGGCTGATAGAGGCCGCTTACATTTCCACAGAAAAAGTGATAAACGTATCGCCAGGCTTCTTCAAACTACATGATATTATAGCATCCCAGATCAAAGACATGCGATAGATATGAACGGATGCATGGACGTATGTATACGAAGGAACACAATCGATCGATCGAACGGATACGATATCTTTTAGCGAAAGACAATGTTTATAGTGAAGCGTGCTGTCAATGATGTTATTTGAATTTTTGATATGTATGTCGACGAAATTATGTTTTAGCATTAGCCCATGAATAAGCAATAAACGCGAAACGTCGGGCAAAAAAACCTCAATTTTTAAACATTAGCTTTAGTCTTAGTTTAAAACAAATGAACAATAATTAATTTAAGGCCTTCCTATACGCTCAGCAACACTTGTCAATTTATATACTTAATCTGTCCAGAAGTGTCATGGAAGAGCCATTTGAAGTACGACAAGCATTTTACGTTAGCCAAAAACGAAACCGAACGATCGAACGAATTGAGTTTCTTCAAAGGTGTATAGAGGAACAAGTTCTCCCTTCCTCAGCACCAGTACAGCTGAAGTCAAAGGAACATCCTTTTACTCCAGCAGCCAAAGCATACCTAGAAGATGCAATTAAGACTTTGCGGAATAAGGACGTCATTTTGTCGAGCCGCGTTGAGAACCAAGTACAGCTTCCACAACATCTGAGGGATCGACTGAAGGCAGAATCAGTTGAACATAGGATGAATCTAAATAGGAAGCTAGACAAGTTATGCGATTCAAGTGACTGGAACACAGCAGGAAACATGTCTCTGGTCACGAACTTATCCGACCGTATACTTACTAAGACAGAAATAGCAGTGCTATCGCTCGGTTTAAAGTTCGATGTGGGTGGCCCAAGCAAGCATTTACAGGAATTTGTGATAAGAAATCATAGATTTGGAGATTCGGACATAGAGAAGGGCTTCAAGCAAGGTGTCTCTGCGTGTTTAACAGCAATGGCCAAGGACCAGACAGTTACTGTTCCTAAGCGGTTTGTGCAGGCTCTGGAATCACTGAAAAAGGACCGTAGCATAATCATCACCACCGCTGACAAAGGGGGCGGAGTGGTTGTCATGAACTCAAAAGATTACGAAGCCAAAATGAAGACACTGCTACAAGACGGGAACACTTACCAGAACGAGGCGCCAGGCACATCTAAGAAAAAGTCCACTTCTTTTTCCAAGGAGGCAAGGAAGATACCGCGGAACTCAGAACCGGGAAAAAAGCTGCAATACCTGCTAGAAGAAAAGCCCAAGACACCGTCCATGAGGGGACAGCCCAAGATACATAAGACGGACGTGCCGATGCGGCCCATCACATCAGGTGTCGACAGTGCACCGCACAGACTTGCCAAACATCTAGCCAAACCACTCTCACAATGTCTAGGAAAAATGAGTCCAACACACTTAAAGAATTCTGCAGACCTCTTGGAAAGAATCCAGACAGTAGACCACACAAAACACATGGTAAGTTTCGACGTAAAATCACTTTTTACAAATGTTCCAATTGATGGAGCCATGAGGGCCCTTCATGAGGTACTAGATCTAGTGGACGACGTCCAACTTCCGGTCCCAAAAGATGATTATATTAGATTAGTCGAACTTTGCATAAGATTTGGAAGTTTTGAGTTTCAAGGGGAGGAATTCACACAAATCAACGGACTAGCAATGGGGTCTCCATTGAGTGCAGTTTTGGCGAATTTATACATGGAGCTGCTTGAAAAGGAGCACTTCCTTTCTATCTTCGGGGAAGATACAACAGTTTACAGATATGTAGACGATATAGTAGCTTTCATCCCCAATGAACGTAATGTGGAAGACCTGTTAAAACAACTCAATGATGTCGAACCAGCCATCCAGTTTACGTTAGAGCAGGAGAAGGACGGAAAACTTCCGTTCCTTGATGTAGTCATCAGGAGATTTGAACAAGGGTTTAAGTTCTCTGTATATAGGAAACCAACTAACAAAGATGATTTCGTGCACTATTTTTCGGCACACAGCTTGCGAAGTAAGACAGGCATAGTCATTGGTTTCTTTTTGCGAGCCTACCGTATCTGCTCTCCTGAGTTCCTACAGGACGAGCTAGATTACATTAAGAAAGCATTCATGGCGTTGAAATTCCCCGAGGCTCTACTGATCGAGTTACAAAAAAAAGCAAAACAGATCAGACACAGGCCCAGGACAGAGAGGGATGCACAAGACAAGAAAAGGGCATATTTTATTGCACCAAATAGTGAGACAACTGATCAAATAGCAAAGATGCTGGCGCCTGATCTGAGAGTAGTATCAGCTTCGGGAAAGAAGGTCGGGCAGATACTTGCTAGAAAAAAGCCAAAGGAAGTAGATTCAGACAGTATTGTGTACAAAATCCCTTGCAGCAAATGTGATAAATCGTATTTCGGAGAAACGGGGAGAGGTCTAAGAAAACGTATTCAAGAGCACAAAAATGACTTACGCAATCACAGAACATCCAAGGCATTAGTCATTCACGCAGATCAAGAAGGACATCTACCAAACTGGAAAGAAGCACAGGCCATACACACAGGTTTAACGAAAACACGTCGGTGGCTGATAGAGGCCGCTTACATTTCCACAGAAAAAGTGATAAACGTATCGCCAGGCTTCTTCAAACTACATGATATTATAGCATCCCAGATCAAAGACATGCGATAGATATGAACGGATGCATGGACGTATGTATACGAAGGAACACAATCGATCGATCGAACGGATACGATATCTTTTAGCGAAAGACAATGTTTATAGTGAAGCGTGCTGTCAATGATGTTATTTGAATTTTTGATATGTATGTCGACGAAATTATGTTTTAGCATTAGCCCATGAATAAGCAATAAACGCGAAACGTCGGGCAAAAAAACCTCAATTTTTAAACATTAGCTTTAGTCTTAGTTTAAAACAAATGAACAATAATTAATTTAAGGCCTTCCTATACGCTCAGCAACACTTGTCAGTGAATAGCCGTGTCGCCCTCTGGACTCTGGAGTCTACATACATGCCCAAATTAACGTTGAGCGCGGCCGTTTTCGGTCGGTTTTCCGCGACCTTTTGTCGAAATCGCCTTATTTATTCAACTGGGGTGGACTAGTTCGCTTAGCAAGGAATAAGGTGTTGAAGAGAATTATTCAAGGAATAGAGCTGTGCAATTTTTTGTGTTGTTAAAACTGTATCCGCCCTCGAACGATAAGTATTGTTGACGCATCAGAAACACATCCCATGGAATGCGTTTGGACTTGGCTGGATCTAATATTAGCGAGTATCTGCTAATGCAGCTTCTTGGCTTGCACAGCATGCACATAAACATACATGCTTCCTGCCCTTGGATTATTCCTCACTTGAATAGACATTTTTCTATAATAACTATTCCAAGCAGTTGACAGGGTTAGTGCAATGCAAAGTCGGAACCGTCCCGCGCCGCCAGTCTCCCAGGCGGCGTGTAACGCGACCCCCACCGGACACGATTTGGTAGCCGAGGTCTGTGACGTCAGCTGGGCGCGAAGTTTTCCCTTCACCATAGGCTTTACACACAAATTAACCAAAGTTCATGCCAGGATATCTCAGTCTGGAAGTGCAAAAAGGATTAAATGTTGGCGTCATTAGATTCAGTGTTTCATTTTATGTCTGAAAACGTCCATTATTAGGCCTCAAAGAAGGTACAAGTACTCGAAATCAAAGTTCAAGAAGATGCTGTCGTGTACATAATCTGGTAGCATCACGTGACCTCTTTACAGCAGTTTATAAATAATTTCAAAATCTAGTTACACGATTGCTGCTTCAAACAACATACCTAAATAATACATCACCAACATTTATTACTTCCGTTTAGGTCACAACATTGCAAAAAGCAAAGTTTACCACCGTAGTCACGTGACCAAAGGTGTAGCGGGGGGTTGGGACAAACGCTTGAAGGGCTTTAATTTTCAAAATAAATTATATAGGTAGTTTTCGTGATGAAATTGAAAGATTGCACCACCACACCCGTGTTACCAGTGTGGTGTCGGTTATGCCGTCTGTTGAGCTGGCTGGCTGTAGTCTCAGCTCCGCCCCCACACCAAGGCCCCCCACACCAGTGTGACTCAGTGACTGCCGACTGGTGTGGGATGACGTTCGCCGTGCCATCTGTTGGCTCCAATGGAAACCCCAGTTGTGCCCCGCCATCTGTTGGCCGTAATTTAGACTTCGGTTCCGCGCTGTCAGTGCGTCCGCCACCTAAGGGTCGTAATGTGAGTGAGGAAATGGAGCTTGGCTCTCTTGCCCCGCGGTCGCCGCCGCAGCTGGCCGACGAAGTGGCCGGCTGCCGCCATTTTATAATAAATCCGCTGTCGCTGTTAATGAACCTCTCTCTTTACACCGGGGATAACTGGCGTGGTGACAGCGTTTTAACCTATGCCTCCCCTTGATGTTCGTTTTGCCAAAAGCGGCGCAGCGACACTTGTCGTACTGCACATTTGAGGCGGTTTATTTATCAAGATGGCGGCGCTGGCGCGTCCGCGCCGTGGCCTGAGTCACCTGAGTATTGTTTATTCTCGGAATTGACAAGCATCGGATTTGACGTCAACAGAAGCTAGAAGATACGGTTCTGCGCCTGTTGTTTGTTTTTCAAGCTGAATATGTCTGCTGGCTCGCTCTGCCGTGGTTCTGCTGGTGCTGTCGGCCGGAGACATGCTGCGCCACGTCGGTCGCCGCTGCCTTCGACGCCTGTCGGTTTGACCGCCTCAGACTGCCGCCAGCTGCGGGCCGTTGACGGCGGCCCCGCCGACTCCAACTCTGATTCTACTGACTCCCTAGTCCCTGCTGAAGACTGCCGCGCTCACCGTCCGCCGTCCGGTTTGCCCCTGCGTGAGGCTGCCGGCTGGCCGAAGAGCGATTCCAGTCGGGGAAACTGTGGAGCCGCAGCCTGCTGAAGAAGCGGCTGGTCCCCAGTATTTCTAACTTCTCTGCCGGCCTGACCCTGCGGCCGCACACTGGACGGCCGCCCGCTCCTGGTCGCTGTGCGACGCTCCTGCGCGCCGTCGACCGAGGAGATCGGCCCATCAAGACTCGACTGTACGAGCACGTATGTAGCCGTGACCCCGCCCGAGTGTCTTTGTTGTTCATTCGGACTGTGCCTATGTTAATGCGCGCTCAGCGACTCCCCTCTCCCGTTCGTTTGGGGTGATACGAGTACGACCTTACGATTCGATACGATGCGATGTTTAGTGATGCGTGTTTTGCCACCCGCGGTGATTTCACTTGTATTTTTTTCCATTCGCTCCTTGCACCTCGTTTTGCAGTCCATCACAAGCAGGGCTATGCTGATTTTATCCAGGGCATTCGTAATTTTCTTCTCGCTTTTTTCGATTGCGGAAGAGAAGAAAAAGTGGTCACACCACCACACCCGTGTTACCAGTGTGGTGTCGGTTATGCCGTCTGTTGAGCTGGCTGGCTGTAGTCTCAGCTCCGCCCCCACACCAAGGCCCCCCACACCAGTGTGACTCAGTGACTGCCGACTGGTGTGGGATGACGTTCGCCGTGCCATCTGTTGGCTCCAATGGAAACCCCAGTTGTGCCCCGCCATCTGTTGGCCGTAATTTAGACTTCGGTTCCGCGCTGTCAGTGCGTCCGCCACCTAAGGGTCGTAATGTGAGTGAGGAAATGGAGCTTGGCTCTCTTGCCCCGCGGTCGCCGCCGCAGCTGGCCGACGAAGTGGCCGGCTGCCGCCATTTTATAATAAATCCGCTGTCGCTGTTAATGAACCTCTCTCTTTACACCGGGGATAACTGGCGTTGTAATTTTTCATTACATAATACGAATTTTGGTATGTGGGATATTTTATTTGTAGCCAGAATTCTCCACATAAAAAATGATAATGACGTCACGGGGGCTTTACTCAAAACATCCGACCTACCTGTTTCTTATAGGTATCTTGGTGTAACGGCCGCCGCGCCGTCGCTCTGGCAAGGTGTTTGACTTTATACCCCGGCCCTGTTGTCAGTAGCGGCGGAACACCTTCAATTAGGGGGGGGGGGGCAAGGCCGTATAAGAGAGGTAGAATCACCCCGCGATTTCCAATGGACCGGTCGCTAAGCATTAGCGTGACGTCACTGGTGGAGACCGGGCGGCGCCCGGCTCCAAGCTGTACGTCTGGTACATCTGGCACCGTATATTGTTAGTATTACTGAACGCAACGACAACTAAGGACTCTTAATAACTTCTTTACTCACCTAAAGCTAATTTCCTTGCCGGTACATTGCCGACCCGAGCCCCAGGGTTGACAATCATGGGATATGGGTCGGATGGGCGGCCTCGCGACGGGAGAAGGAACGATTGCAATTGCTGTGTCCCGCACCGCCGATTGCATTCTCTATCTGCGCCTGGGGGGGGGGGGGGCAGGGGGCACGTGCCCCCATCGGGTCAGGGGGCCTCAGGCCCGAGGGGCCTTGCGACGCCAATTGGCGGCTGAGGGTCCACGCTGGCATCTTTCGACTCAGACGGGCCCCACAGGGCTCGGAAGAACACCTTATGTGCTCCGAAGAGCCACATTCCTCTCCATAAGAGCCCCACACCGGTTTTTAGGTCCCTTGTCGGCCTTTGAGGGCCCCTTGCCGGCTTCTCAGGGCCTATTGGCGACCTCTGAGGGCTACTTGCCGGCCTCTGAGGGCCCTTACCGGCCTATCAGGGACCAGCAGCTCTAAGGGTTCCACACACGCCTGCGATGACCCCCTAAACCAATGGTTGAAGGCCCCACAACGGCGCCTGCGAGGGCCCTCACCGGCGGCTGTGAAGGCACCACACCGGTGCCTAGCTGAGGGCCCCACACTGCCACCTCTGAGTGCAACCGGCACCCCTGAATGAGGTCCCGAAACCAGTGCTTCTTAAGGCCATATATCGGCGGCTCTGAGGGGTCAACCCCTTAGCCTCTGACGGCCTCAGACGGGACCTGCACATCGGACGGCCACTCACCGGTGACTTTTGAGGGCCCCGCACCGACGACTCTGAGGGCCCCCACCGGCGTCTGAGAGTACCTTGCTGGTCTCTGAGGACTCCACAGTCCACAGGGCTCCCAAAGGCACCGCAGACCTCTTGAGAGCCCCTTGTCGGTTTCTGAGAGCCCCTGTCGGCCTGTGAAGGGTTCGAGCCAGCAGCTCTAAGGGTCCCACACCCGACTGTGACGACCCCACACTGCAGTGTCTCTGAGGGCCCACAACGGCAACTGTGAGGCCGATGACCCTCACCGGCGCCTCGGAGGGCCCACAGCGGCACCTCTGGGGGCCCGCACCAATGCCTCTGAGAGCCTCACACCGGTACCTGTGAGGGCCCACACCAGTGCCTCCAAAGGCTTCATAACCGGCGGCCCCGGGGGCCCTACACGGGTGATTTTGAGGGACCTACCGAAGGCATCACGCAATCCCTTAGTCTCGCTAAGCTTCTATCCCAATCACAAACTGGTTTCTATCCCAATTCTGGCTCAACCTATTAGCAGCCCACGCCCCCTCCCCCCCCCCACCCCATATTGACAGCAGCGCCGCGCCGGTGCCGGGGCCAGCGCCATCGGGGCGGCAGTCGGCCACGCGTACTTACATAATGGTTAGCGCTTAGCACCGGCGGCTAGCGCACGCTCGGTGTGTTATCTGGTCGATATAGGTAGTAAGCAGATGCAGAGATGCAGGTGGATTGATGACCGGCAAGCTTTTGTGTTTTACGAGGGTGAAGGGTCGAAGTCGGCTGCTAAGTGGTGAGCGGATTTTATCAGATGCCGGTTCACTATCATTCTTTCCATGCAACGCCCTTAGGGCTAATGCCAAAATGCCAAAATCAAAGGGGGCACGGTGCCCCGGTGCCCTCCCCGTTCCGCCGCCTATGCCTGTTGTTAGAAAAGCTGTGGATCGATTTACTTGATTCTTGCATGACAAGATCCGCCATTCAATTCTTAGCAGGTACCGAAAAGTTGACGTCAATCGCACGATCCGCCATCCATATTGCGGTACTGCCATCTATTGACATTGACAAGGCTGGAGAACTAAAGCCGTGCGGCAATTTCCACTTCTGACACACCATGTAAATATTTCACCTCGTGAGTACATCGACGGCGCCGCAATGAGCGTTTTTGATAAGCGTCAATAAGGTCACGAAGCTGGTCGACGGAGGTCATGTTACATATCATTCGATTCAGCAGGTTTTCCCGAGTCCATATCGCCAACGTGTTCGGAGCTATCGCAAAAGAAAAACCCTATGGGGGGGGGGACCTCCCCTCGGCCGGCGAGGGTTAAAACGGTTAGAGCGAGTCTAGCACAAATTCCTTACATGGTTAGCAGCTCGGGCCGGTGGCACGGACAGATCAACTTGCCTGGAATACCCTCATCGTTTACACTTCTTTCAGGTTTCATCCCTCGGGGCGCGCCGTACCCAGTTCCATCTTTTATACCTGAAAAGCATCTGTTCTGGAGTGACCTGGACGTATCGACTCGTCTTTTTTTATAGCTTCATTCGCGCTACATACACCACGTCGTCCGACAAGGAATGTCCTCTAGTGCGACAGGGCCGGGCCCCCCCCCCCATAGGTTTTGTTCGCGATAGCTCCAAAGTCCAAACACGCTTGAGATAGAGAGCTGAAACTTAGCATACCTGACCTTTGATTCAAGCCAGATCTTTTGACACCAACAGTATTTTCGGGTCAGGTCAGGTCACTGACCTATGACGTCATAAGTGAACCTCTGCACGGTCTTAAGATATCGCAACTTCGCAACGCCCTCCCTGCCATAGGAGCTTTCACAGGGAAATGAAACTTACAGGATCTAGTATCTATTACGAGTCTCACGACTTGCGTATCTCGGATTTTTCCTAAAGGTCATATGAGGTCAGGTCATTTTCGTGACCTCACCATTTTAAGTCAATGGGGAAAAATGAAAACTGCTATTCTGGCGCCGGGAACGATCTCCAACTATCTCAAGCACACAGAATCGTGATTTAATGCACTCATTGCAAGGTTAGATGCGTCACTTTTGCAATGTTGACCTTGCGTGACGTTATTTATGACGTCATAAAGGTCATATTTGTTTTTCGTCAATAACTCCCGATCAAATTGCGCTAGCGAGTCGGGAAAGCCACCAGTGGACTCAGGAAGACCTGCCGAATCGAATGATATGCGACATGACCTCCTCCGACCGACTTCGTGACCTTGGGGTGCTGACCAGACCGTGACATGAGGTCAACACCCTAAGTTGACCTGACCCAAACAAAAACTATATCATTCGAAGCGCCTGAGCGAGGCAAACACGATGCTGCCAAAATCGCGGTTCTGCGACCGTTTTTTTTTTTTTTTGCTAAGTTATTCACCAAAAACAGAACCGTACCTCGGGGCACTTGACCTGACCTCAGAGGTCACCGGTTGACCTAGAACCTTAAAATTGGATATCAATCTCTGCGTCTCGTAAGGGCGCACACGCTCGTTTTTTTCCGCGACGCGCTAGCTGAGTACTGAGAGAAAGACACCAGGCGGTGGACCATTTGCAAATATTGGTGAGATCAGTTTGAAGGAGGCCGCAATCAGCAGGAGATGAAATTTACCGGTAGGATCTTGAACGTTTATTTTTGTCTCGCATTTCTTTAAACTTCCTATCGCGGGTGCTCAGGAGCGTTTGCACGTGCCCAGTTTGACTTTGTTGGTTGCCCATGCACCCACAAACAGAAATAAAACCCCATTCCTGCAACAACACCCTTTTTTCTGAGTGCACACTGCACATAGATTGTACGGTGGCTAACAGCGTGACCGACTGGCTGTGCAGGTGGGAGGCTGCCGTGTGGGCGCCCCCAGATCCCTGGGTGAGGAGAGAGCAGCAGCACTTGGCATCCATTCGGCCTGAGCCGGAGCGGCCGACCAGCGCCCTGGTCTGTCTGCTGGGCCGCCTGGTGCCGCGGAGCCCGCCGCAGCAGCCTCGTCACCAGCGAGCGCGCCGGCGGCGGCGGCCGCCGGCGCCGGCCAGCGCCGTCCGGGCACCAAGCAGCGCGGCCGCTTCGGCAGGTCAGTGGCCACGGAGCCGAACACCAGCTGCAGCTGCCACAGGCCAGCCACGCGCCACGCGGCCGTCTCACATCGCTTCGATGCAGCTGTGGCCGAGTTTGTTTATCCCTATTAGTGGCACTGTCATAAATAGATACTAAGGTAACACGGAGCCGAAGCGTCAAGCCAGGGGACGCGGGAGGCATGCCGTCAGCTGTCCATTTATAAACAATCGTTTTCTTTGACATAATTTCTAATGTTTTTTATGTCTTGCATGAATTAGGTTCATCAAAAATTATATTTTTTATTCATGAGGCAGGAAATATTTTGTAGTCCGAACTAGTGGTGTCAATCGGTTACCGAAATTTCGGTATACCGATAGCGAACCAATACCGATTCGGTGTTTGGTATTATATACCAAAAGCATTTGGTATTTTGTCGGTATTATAAAAATCAACTACTGCCACCAGTATAACGCCTTTTGGGGCGACTAACGGAGCGAGCGAGAGGGTGGGCCTTGCACGTGCGAAATTGCGAGGGGTACCTCCAACTGACTTGTGCACGGCACCCTACTAACTGGTCTCTAGCGATGTGCCAAATTTGGGCACAATCGGCCCAGCCGTTCTCGAGATCTGGAAGCGGCACCCTGCACGTGCGCACGTGCAAAATGGGTCCCAACTGACTTGTGCACGGCACCCTACTAACCGGTCCCTAACCGTGTACCAAATTTGAGCGCAATCGGTCCAGCCGTTCCCGAGATCTGGAAACGACCCCTGCACGTGCGCACGTGCAGCAGCACCCCAACTCTGGCACATGTATATGCAGTGCCTAGTGGGTGCCTACCTACATGCCAACTTTCAGCGCAATCGGCCAAGTAGTTACCGAGATATTGCAACAATTACAAAACTGACACCTCTTCGTTTTGCACGTGGCACGTGCATAAGGGGTCACCCACATGCATCGGGAATAGTCCAATACGTGGTAGAAGGAATGTAGCTACCCTACAAAAATTACCGCGTGTAAATCGGTCAAGTGGTTGCTGAGATATAAGCCTCGCAAAAGCGTGACCACGGCCGGCCGGCCGGCCGGCCGGCCGGCCGCTCATACTCAGAAATTTCCGTTAATCTAAGGAAAGACTACGCTCGCTTCGCTCGCTCCGTAATAAAATATTTGAAAGCTTTTTTAATAAACCCTCTGAACTCAAATTTGATTTGCTAAATGACGTTGGATGAAGAAAAATGGCAATCATGACATATTTCTCCCAAATGCATGATGTCCAAACAAATGGGCAAGCACGTTAACTGTAATATCAAACACATCAGTCTACCAAGGTTAAATGGCAACTGTTCGTGTGATTCGTGGTCGTTTACTCTGATCCAGCACGGCAGACCAAAGTGTTCATGTAATCGTCCAGTTCACTAAGAATTGCGTAGCTGATCGTATCGTTTCATTAACCGGAGGACCAAAAGAGTTCTTTGATGAATGTCTATTTCTGGATTACTCGTCACACACTGCACGTCAATTGAATCGTGCGACACCGGCGCCGTTGCGCCGGCGGAGCCGCGCCGTCGTCGTCGTTTCGCTGCGAACTGCACTCAGCACACATGTGCTCCAGATGACCCCCCAGGCCCTGCAGAGGACCACGTGGACGGCGGGGCTCGGCCGTGCCCGCCGCGCGCTGCCGTCGCTGTGCGGCACGGTACGTTTTCTCTCGAACAGCAACTTATCAGTGCTAGCAAATTCCAATACCATGAGGATAATTATCTTACAAAGAAAGCTAATGTGCAAGACAGAGACAATGTTTAACTCACTGTATGCTGGAAAACATCCTTTAACTACCTTACTCAAAATTTCCAAAGCATTTATTAGCAACAAATTTGACTGTGTTGAGGAGTCTGTGATTGATCTTCACCTTGTCTTGCTCTCTATTTCACTGCAATGTAATTACATTATCCAAAACCCTGTTTTATACAGCACTAGCTTCACCATTATCATCTGATATTGACGGAAGCATTTATCACTATCATCACCCCACAATTCCTCAACTTCGCTCAACTTCTAACAGCCTCTGTTAATGACTGAGCGATTCTGTGGATAATTTATTTTATTTAATTAGTGTTCTCTTTCCTGCTCTCCTCAACAGATAGAGATCGCTAGCAATGTAATCAAAATCATTCCTAAAATATAATTGGTTTTTGGCTTGATTCGCACACAGCAGTTTCAAAACTGAACAAATCTAAAAAAGTATGTCGCAGCTGCGCCAAGTACCTACTGATGTAGCTCAATAACTAATTGAAAATAATTGAACATTTTCTGGTTCTTCATTTTTCAGCAATAGCAGCCTACAGTCTTTCTTGAATTAATTTTAAGATGCCAAAATATAAACATGGAATTTTTTACTTAAGTGTACTAAAGCAAAAAAGAAAAAAAATTATCTTATACAGTTCCGTGCCTAAATGCAAATGGCCGCCGCCATCAAGGCTGTCATTTGTGGAAGAGATGACATGTGACATGTGTCAATGCTTCCATAAAATTGTGGACATTTTACTTAGCTTTCATCGCGATATCATTACAGTGGTGTTTGCTATCTATCAGTGTGCCTCGTAAGTAATTATTTATCAAGTTTTGTTGTGTTAAACATTTGTTTATGAAAAAAAAATGGTTGCTTCAGTATCGTCACCATCGCCCTTGGGTTGACTACACTGAACTCTATAATGTGGAAGGCGCATCGGCCGCCAGATGGTGTCCAACAGTGCCGCCATGTTGCACAGACCAGGGAAGCGGCCGCCGCCTGTGCTGGGGAATAGGGAATTCGGGACCTCTATTTACGTTTGCGGCCGCTGCATCCGTTACGTTCAAGCTATGTAGACACAGAACCCGGCATCTTACGCGGAGTTGAGTGGAGAACAAGATGCAATCTTTAAAAATCCTCAGATACAGGAAACTTATACGATAAACCCTTATAAGTCAATGGGGAAATATGGAAATTACTTCTGTTTAACCCTCGCCCGTATTGGTGTTTTTCCAGCCGCGAACGTATAAGGGGGGGGGGGCTCCGTTGGACCCCCCCTTGCCGTTTCGCCCCTGATCGAGCTAGAGCTTCGCGGAAAAATCGAGCGTGTTGCCCGTGACAAGAGGAAGCCGATGATACCCAATTTTAAGGTCCTAGGTTATTGGTTGATCTTCCAGGTCAGGTCAATGACCCAAAAGTCGGGAAAATCGGGACCTGTCAGAACGTCGTAAAATGTGGCTACTTTGGGGTTTTTCGGGGTGCTGATCACGAATATCATGCTAGTTTTGTTCACAGATGATGTCTTCATGCATTTAGGCCAGGTCGGGTCAGGTCAGGCCAGGTCAATCAGTAGAGGTCCTGCCGGGTATTCGTAGTAGGTGTCAACCGGCTCTGACAGCTTCGTAACATGTTACGAAGGCACCAAAACTACTTCGTAAATGTTAATATGGTTGCTAAATTCGAATTCAGGTCCAAAAACTGGCCTAGAAACATGTAAAACTCGAAAAAGTGAACCGAGGTCATCGAAGGTCAATGACTTGACCTGACCTTAAGGTGACCTTGACACCCACCCTAATGCATGGGGGCAACATCATATCACATGTTTGAACGCTTGTAACCACGAAAAGACTGCAAACACGCGGCTAATGCGAGCCGACATACGCCGAATCGCGATTCCGGCCAAACATGGTCTCGAAAAGTAGGTCACAGGTCAAAGGTCATTTGGGTCAGGGTCATGAAATTTTCAGGGTAGGTGTAAAATTGATCAACTCGATGGTACTGACAGTTTCGTCGCGATCAGCCGCTTTTTACGCGAGTTATTCGCGAAAAACCGAGGGGGGTCCGTTCGACCCCCCCCCCCCCCCTATACGGGCGAGGGTTAAGTCGTAACATTGCAAAACGCAAAGTTTATCATGACAGTCACGTGACCAAAGGTATAGCAGGGGGTTGGGACAAACACTCAAAGGATTTCAAGTTTTTTAATTAAATCATATAAGTTTAATGATGAAATCGGAAGATTGTATTTTTTCCTAATAAAATACATATTTTCGTTTGTAAAATATGTTCCTTAACGGCGAAATTCTCCATAAAAGAAATGTCAGTGACATCACCAGGGCTTTACATTCGACCTATACATTCATACATTCGACCTACCTGACAGCTGCCTAAGAATATTTTTCGGGGTACATAACTCGGCCCTGGTGGCGCAGTTGGTTAAGGCGTCGGCCCGCGGTGCGGGTGGCTCTGGGTTCGATTCCCGGTGTCGCCCGTCCCGCGGGCGTCGTCCCCAGCTGTGTCACCAGGAGTGGGGTGGGCTCCCACGTTAGCCGTAGCCTAGGGGGGAGGGGTAAGGAAGAGGAGGAGCAGGAGCCTTCCTGTAAGTGGGCGCATCAGCCTGTTGAGCCTTCCTGTAAGTGGGCGCATCAGCCTGTTGGAAGGATGACGAAATAAAAAAACTCAAGTTGACCTAGCCCGCGCGGGGTTGGGGTCTCCAGCCGAACGCGCGGGGCTGGGGGGGGGGTAAATTTTACCCCCCCTGTTATCTCCCGAACTAATGGTCCGATTTGGAAAATTCAAACGCCAGTCGAAAGCTCTCATCACGAACTACTAAAAACATGTACTTAATTTAACCCGCGCCCTGCTGGGGGTCCTGGATTTCCACGCCCTGCTGGGGGGGGGGGGTGTTTGAACACCCCCCCCCCCTTGTAACTCGGCTCCTGGGCCACGTAGCGATACGCGGAAGGCGGCGTTCGAAAGAGCGTAAAAAATAATGACGAAATCACTTCGGTCAATTTTTTGGTCAGGTCAAAGGTCAGGTCACCAGAGGTCATTGAAGGCAAAATTTCGCCGATTTCCAGGTCGAATGTCGAAATTTTCCAAGAAGCCAACGCATAACTCGGGAACCAATAGAGCTACAGCGCTGCGGAAGAGCGCATTCGATAGCCCTATTAACGCCCTTTCTGAGTAATTCTCTCAGATTTGACCTAACGTCAACGGTTTTGCCTGCAGGGGGCAAAAACTGCAAAAATAGCCGATTTTTTCGAAAACAGTTTTTCTGCAATAACTTTTGACCCAAGCCTTGTACGAGCTTACTTTTACCGGCATCGTGTTCCTCTCGTCAAGACGCATCGAATGAACTATGACTTGACCTTGAAAGGTCAACCTGAAAATTTGACCTCAGGTCAAGGTCATGACCTGACCGGAAAGGGTCATGTTGCATATCAGTCGATCCGTATCGTCGAGCTGAACACATCTAAGGCGTTTTCATCGCTCTAGCATGCCTCTATCAAAAGTTATTTGCGAAAAACTGTTAGATACCATTCGTGACCTAAGATGACCTCAGGGCATAAACAAGGGTCACGGACACCATTTTCAAGTTCAGTGTGTCTAAACCACTTGTAATTCGGTGTTTGGAAGTGTTTATAATGTCTTTCATCCAAAAGAGACGCATTTCAATTTTCTCCCATTGACTTATAATGGGGAGGTCGCAAAATTGACCTGACCTTAGGTCATCGATATCAAAATTCTGAGATATACATTTTGTACATGCTATTGCTCTTAGCAATCGCTGAAAGTTTCAAAGTGATCGGTCACTCGGTGTAGCTATGACAGACATTGAAAGTTTTTATGAGGTGAGGTCACTTCAAGTGACCTGGTGACCTGACCTTGAATGACCTTGGTCTGAAATTTTTACAACATGTGTAGAATTGATGTATGATAAGGTGTACCAAAAACGGCGGCGCTCCGCGCCGCCGTTTTTGAGATATTCGCGAAAAACCACAAGGGGGGTGTTCAAACACCCCCCGCCAGCAGGGCGCGGGTTAAAGTTTGAGGTCAAGGTCAAGGTCAGGTCAAGGGTACAAATTGCAAGTTTCTACAGTATCGGCCTTGCACCGTAGTTACCGAAGAATGGAGTCATGGACTGAGACTGATCGCCCAAAACGTGTTCTTAGGCTACCAAGACAATATTCGTTGCATACAATATCATTCAGAGGTCAAGGCAAAGGTCAGGTCAGGTCAGGTCAGGTCACCAAAAAACAAAATATAGAAAAGGGCATGTGCGACACATGTTTTATGGGTCATTTTACTCATAGAAGTCAATAGGCACACTCAATAAGTGATATGGACCACCTCTGGATGAATTTCAGGTCGAGGTCAGGTCAAGGTCAGGTCAAGTGAGGTCAAATTTTGAAGTTGGTTGTTAAGGCCTAAAAAGGTGTCTATCTGATGCAGTTTTTCACGGCGAATCGAATGGTGCTATTTTTGTTTCCGTACGAGGTCTAGAACTTCCAAAACAGTCATTTTTCAAAAAAAAATTGTGTCGTGACGTCATAAAATTTTGAATAACTCCCACATTTTTGAACCGATTCTTCTAAAATTTGGTATGTAGGTGCA